TGACTTGGCTGTAAAATGTGAGTTGTCTTTGTGGACTTCCCCTGTGAATGTCGCGGTGGGCGGTCCCTGACGTTGTGACACCTGATGGGCGATCTCGGGGTAACGTCTCTCTCCCGATCCCTCAGATGTGACGTGTCACCGGCCGGCGGGGATCCCCAATGGCTACATGAGTTTTGCTCTGCACCGGAAGTACAATTATAAGGAATTTGTCTCCTACGGCTGTAACCCGCCCTATGCATTGGACGGCAACCGAATATCCTACTGCGACAAAGACGGAGAATGGAGCCAGAAGCCCTCCTGTAGAGGTGAGACCCCCGCCCCCCCCCAAACAATGTACCTGAGACCTCCAGAGGGGGAGGGGCCACACTGACATTTATAGGAAAACTCAGGATTGGCTGGTAACTTCAGCTGCTTAGCTCTCAGGGGCCCCTGATCTCTATGACATGGGGTCTTCATTGAGGGAGACCTCCACATGGTCACATGTCCATTGTGAAGTGTCAGCACTGACAGTAATGCTTTGTAATGTCATACAGCTCCGTGTCATGTGACCACGCCCAAGGCCAATGTCCTGCACAATGGAAGACGGACGCGGGTGGATGAGATTGCGGGTCAGCAGATCCAACATGGCGACACCCTGACGTACTTCTGCAAGAATAAGGAACTTAAGTGCGCCTATACGGTGCCGAGCCAATGCCGGGATGGCAACTTCACCGTACCAGCCTGCTACAAGAGTGAGTGATGCCGCAACCCCCCGGGGGGTACAGGGGAGGAGAGGACATGGGAGAAGGGAAGGAGAGGACATGGGAGAGGAAGAGCAGAGGACATGGGAGAGGAAGGGAGGAGAGGACATGGGAGAGGAAGAGCAGAGGACAGGAGAAGGAAAGGAGAGCAGAGGACAGGAGAAGGGAAGGAGAGCAGAGGACAGGAGAAGGGAAGGAGGGCAGAGGACATTGGAGAAGGGAAGGAGGGCAGAGGACAGGAGAAGGAAAGGAGAGCAGAGGACAGGAGAAGGGAAGGAGAGGACATGGGAGAAGGAGAGCAGAGGACAGGAGAAGGGAAGGAGAGGACATGGGAGAAGGAGAGCAGAGGACAGGAGAAGGGAAGGAGAGGACATGGGAGAAGGAGAGCAGAGGACAGGAGAAGGGAAGGAGAGGACATGGGAGAAGGAGAGCAGAGGACAGGAGAAGGGAAGGAGAGGACATGGGAGAAGGAGAGCAGAGGACAGGAGAAGGGAAGGAGAGGACATGGGAGAAGGAGAGCAGAGGACAGGAGAAGGGAAGGAGAGGACATGGGAGAAGGAGAGCAGAGGACAGGAGAAGGGAAGGAGAGGACATGGGAGAAGGAGAGCAGAGGACAGGAGAAGGGAAGGAGAGGACATGGGAGAAGGAGAGCAGAGGACAGGAGAAGGGAAGGAGAGGACATGGGAGAAGGAGAGCAGAGGACAGGAGAAGGGAAGGAGAGGACATGGGAGAAGGAGAGCAGAGGACAGGAGAAGGGAAGGAGAGGACATGGGAGAAGGAGAGCAGAGGACAGGAGAAGGGAAGGAGAGGACATGGGAGAAGGAGAGCAGAGGACAGGAGAAGGGAAGGAGAGGACATGGGAGAAGGAGAGCAGAGGACAGGAGAAGGGAAGGAGAGGACATGGGAGAAGGAGAGCAGAGGACAGGAGAAGGGAAGGAGAGGACATGGGAGAAGGAGAGCAGAGGACAGGAGAAGGGAAGGAGAGGACATGGGAGAAGGAGAGCAGAGGACAGGAGAAGGGAAGGAGAGGACATGGGAGAAGGAGAGCAGAGGACAGGAGAAGGGAAGGAGAGGACATGGGAGAAGGAGAGCAGAGGACAGGAGAAGGGAAGGAGAGGACATGGGAGAAGGAGAGCAGAGGACAGGAGAAGGGAAGGAGAGGACATGGGAGAAGGAGAGCAGAGGACAGGAGAAGGGAAGGAGAGGACATGGGAGAAGGAGAGCAGAGGACAGGAGAAGGGAAGGAGAGGACATGGGAGAAGGAGAGCAGAGGACAGGAGAAGGGAAGGAGAGGACATGGGAGAAGGAGAGCAGAGGACAGGAGAAGGGAAGGAGAGGACATGGGAGAAGGAGAGCAGAGGACAGGAGAAGGGAAGGAGAGCAGAGGACATTGGAGAAGGGAAGGAGAGGACATGGGAGAAGGGAAGGAGAGGACATGGGAGAAGGAGAGCAGAGGACAGGAGAAAGAAAGGAGAGCAGAGGACAGGAGAAGGGAAGGAGGGCAGAGGACAGGAGAAGGGAAGGAGAGCAGAGGACAGGAGAAGGGAAGGAGAGGAGAGGGGAGAAGGAGAGCAGAGGACAGGAGAAGGGAAGGAGAGGAGAGGGGAGAAGGAGAGCAGAGGACAGGAGAAGGGAAGGAGAGGAGAGGGGAGAAGGAGAGCAGAGGACAGGAGAAGGGAAGGAGAGGAGAGGGGAGAAGGAGAGCAGAGGACAGGAGAAGGGAAGGAGAGGAGAGGGGAGAAGGAGAGCAGAGGACAGGAGAAGGGAAGGAGAGGAGAGGGGAGAAGGAGAGCAGAGGACAGGAGAAGGGAAGGAGAGGAGAGGGGAGAAGGAGAGCAGAGGACAGGAGAAGGGAAGGAGAGGAGAGGGGAGAAGGAGAGCAGAGGACAGGAGAAGGGAAGGAGAGGAGAGGGGAGAAGGAGAGCAGAGGACAGGAGAAGGGAAGGAGAGGAGAGGGGAGAAGGAGAGCAGAGGACAGGAGAAGGGAAGGAGAGGAGAGGGGAGAAGGAGAGCAGAGGACAGGAGAAGGGAAGGAGAGGAGAGGGGAGAAGGAGAGCAGAGGACAGGAGAAGGGAAGGAGAGGAGAGGGGAGAAGGAGAGCAGAGGACAGGAGAAGGGAAGGAGAGGAGAGGGGAGAAGGAGAGCAGAGGACAGGAGAAGGGAAGGAGAGGAGAGGGGAGAAGGAGAGCAGAGGACAGGAGAAGGGAAGGAGAGGAGAGGGGAGAAGGAGAGCAGAGGACAGGAGAAGGGAAGGAGAGGAGAGGGGAGAAGGAGAGCAGAGGACAGGAGAAGGGAAGGAGAGGAGAGGGGAGAAGGAGAGCAGAGGACAGGAGAAGGGAAGGAGAGGAGAGGGGAGAAGGAGAGCAGAGGACAGGAGAAGGGAAGGAGAGGAGAGGGGAGAAGGAGAGCAGAGGACAGGAGAAGGGAAGGAGAGGAGAGGGGAGAAGGAGAGCAGAGGACAGGAGAAGGGAAGGAGAGGAGAGGGGAGAAGGAGAGCAGAGGACAGGAGAAGGGAAGGAGAGGAGAGGGGAGAAGGAGAGCAGAGGACAGGAGAAGGGAAGGAGAGGAGAGGGGAGAAGGAGAGCAGAGGACAGGAGAAGGGAAGGAGAGGAGAGGGGAGAAGGAGAGCAGAGGACAGGAGAAGGGAAGGAGAGGAGAGGGGAGAAGGAGAGCAGAGGACAGGAGAAGGGAAGGAGAGGAGAGGGGAGAAGGAGAGCAGAGGACAGGAGAAGGGAAGGAGAGGAGAGGGGAGAAGGAGAGCAGAGGACAGGAGAAGGGAAGGAGAGGAGAGGGGAGAAGGAGAGCAGAGGACAGGAGAAGGGAAGGAGAGGAGAGGGGAGAAGGAGAGCAGAGGACAGGAGAAGGGAAGGAGAGGAGAGGGGAGAAGGAGAGCAGAGGACAGGAGAAGGGAAGGAGAGGAGAGGGGAGAAGGAGAGCAGAGGACAGGAGAAGGGAAGGAGAGGAGAGGGGAGAAGGAGAGCAGAGGACAGGAGAAGGGAAGGAGAGGAGAGGGGAGAAGGAGAGCAGAGGACAGGAGAAGGGAAGGAGAGGAGAGGGGAGAAGGAGAGCAGAGGACAGGAGAAGGGAAGGAGAGGAGAGGGGAGAAGGAGAGCAGAGGACAGGAGAAGGGAAGGAGAGGAGAGGGGAGAAGGAGAGCAGAGGACAGGAGAAGGGAAGGAGAGGAGAGGGGAGAAGGAGAGCAGAGGACAGGAGAAGGGAAGGAGAGGAGAGGGGAGAAGGAGAGCAGAGGACAGGAGAAGGGAAGGAGAGGAGAGGGGAGAAGGAGAGCAGAGGACAGGAGAAGGGAAGGAGAGGAGAGGGGAGAAGGAGAGCAGAGGACAGGAGAAGGGAAGGAGAGGAGAGGGGAGAAGGAGAGCAGAGGACAGGAGAAGGGAAGGAGAGGAGAGGGGAGAAGGAGAGCAGAGGACAGGAGAAGGGAAGGAGAGGAGAGGGGAGAAGGAGAGCAGAGGACAGGAGAAGGGAAGGAGAGGAGAGGGGAGAAGGAGAGCAGAGGACAGGAGAAGGGAAGGAGAGGAGAGGGGAGAAGGAGAGCAGAGGACAGGAGAAGGAAAGGAGAGGACATGGGAGAGGAAGAGCAGAGGACAGGAGAAGGGAAGGAGAGAAGAGGACAGGAGAAGGGAAGGAGAGCAGAGGACATGGGAAGGGAAGCAAAGGACATGGGAGAGGGAGAGCAGGAGAAGGGAAGGAGAGCAGAGGACAGTAGAAGGGAAGGAGAGCAGAGGACATGAGAAGGGAAGGAGAGAACATGGGAGAGGATGAGCAGAGGACAAGAGAAGGGAAGGAGAGGACATGGGAGAGGAAGAGCAGAGGACAGGAGAAGGAAAGGAGAGGACATGGGAGAGGAAGAGCAGAGGACAGGAGAAGGGAAGGAGGGCAGAGGACAGGAGAAGGGAAGGAGGGCAGAGGACAGGAGAAGGGAAGGAGGGCAGAGGACAGGAGTAGGGAAGGAGGGCAGAGGACAGGAGAAGGGAAGGAGGGCAGAGGACAGGAGAAGGGAAGGAGGGCAGAGGACAGGAGAAGGGAAGGAGAGCAGAGGACAGGAGTAGGGAAGGAGGGCAGAGGACAGGAGAAGGGAAGGAGAGGACATGGGAGAGGAAGAGCAGAGGACAGGAGGAGGGAAGGAGGGCAGAGGACAGGAGGAGGGAAGGAGGGCAGAGGACAGTAGAAGGGAAGGAGGGCAGAGGACAGGAGAAGGGAAGGAGAGCAGAGGACAGGAGTAGGGAAGGAGGGCAGAGGACAGGAGAAGGGAAGGAGGGCAGAGGACAGGAGAAGGGAAGGAGGGCAGAGGACAGGAGAAGGGAAGGAGGG